GAAAGCATACTATTTTGCATGCTAACTGCTTTGAAGAGGCTAGATAACCTAACTCCTAAGTTCAAAATGGACAGACTTATTAGTGACTTTAGTACCTAATGTAAAAGTTGAGCAGGATAGGGTAGAGCAGAAGGGAAGTTATTAGTCAAAAGATCTGGTATGTATTTCAGATGTGAAAAATAAGGCACAAGGAATTTTTTTAAATAGTGAATAATAAGTTTTCTGTGCTGCTCTGCAAATTTGGAGAAGATGTAGAGGAAGCAAGGAGGATTGGCTGTAATGAAGATCATGATCTGGGTATATTCCAAATGTTGGTAGATTCTCACTGGTAAAATGGGAACTGGTTTTGCAAATAGTAAGAATAGTAATGGAAGAAAAAAGGTTCCTTAATTTGGGGAAGGCTGGGGGGGGGGAAATCCTGAAGGTTCCTTAAAATTACCAGAGATATTTTATTAGTATAACTCTTAAATGCTATAAACAGGAGAACTAAAACAGAATCCTGAACAATTGTAATCAATCAACATCCTACAGATGTGCCATTTGACAGAGCAGGAAAAGATACCATGCTCAAAAGATTAGATATATTAAACTGCAGCTCTAGTCCAACCTTATAGGGTGGAGAGTTCTGGTCACCAGTTAGAAAAATACTAATTAGTTGGATAAGTTAAGAGAAGAGCAAGAATGGCCATGTTTTCTCACACGCAATATATCTCCAGATAAGACATGCACCTTGTTTTTGGTAAGGCAGAAAAAAAGGGGAAGAGTTTTTTGGGTTTTTTCAGATAAGGCTTCATGGAGCAGGGGTAGACCTAATCTTCAGCTGACTTACCCTCCTTTTCCTGCTTAATTAAAAACAAATCCTGGCAGCTGCTGCTGAAGACTGGTCTCTGTGGTGGATCTCTGATTTTGAAAAAGAGAGTTCCAAGAGCTGTAAAGTAGGAGAAGAGAGATGAGGAACAGCTAGCATATAGCAGAATTCCCCTGAGAAAGGTTAGTTTGATTAGTTGTGATAAACTATAAAAAAGGAGAAGTGATCATTAAGACCTCTGGCATAATAGACAAAGAGCCATTAGATCAATGGACTCCCTCAGCCATCTGGATAGTAATGCTGCTGCTGCATTGTGGAGCAGGAATCAGAGAGGTGCTTCTACAAACAAAAAAATCAGCTTCCCTACTTATGACATGCACCCCAATTTTGGGGGGCAGAGTTGTGGGGAAAAGGTACATATGGCATCAGGAGTCTGTAGGAATTGACTAGTTTAAGAGTGCATAGTTAAAATTAATGTAGTTTGTGTGGGGAGGGAACATAGCATTCAAATACCTGAAGTTTGTCACAAATGTAAAGAGAAATTTAGCATAGTGTTTGCTGGTACCTTACAAGTGATCTTGAAGTATGGAACATGCCTTTGCACCTAAGTAGGACAAGACTATGGCATTCTCAAAGGAGCTAAGGATGCTTCTGTCCAGGGTGATAGGGATGAAGCTGGGCTCTCTCACAATGACAGCTTCCATCTTGCTAGAGTGAAGTTACAAGAACTCAGAGCAGGGACTTTTTCTTCTGTTTCCTTGCTGACTATTTTACTGGCACCTGATAGTGTGGAGGAAGAAATTGTCCATCTAGAATTCAGAGGTAACAAGCCAGATTTGGAGCTTTAAAGGGCTGATTTAGAGAATGGAATAGGACAAAGCCTGGGTCTTGGGGGCAAAGGATGGAGAAGTGACTGGGACTGGCTGGGCAAGGAAACTAATTCTGCAAACCAGTGGAGTGTGGGGGAAGGTAGACGGAGAGAGAAGACGTGGTCAGAAAAGTGAGGGAGACTAGGACAGAAAGTTAAAGTGCCAACAGAGCATGCACGTTGGTGATCTCTAGACCCTGTATGCATTGCCCAATTGCTCGGCTTGGGCATCTGAAGGGGGAGTAGGTAGATCTTGTTTTTTCAGAGTAGTGCCAGGTGCAGCAGGGAAACAGCATAGACATGGTTGAAAGCTCCCAGCCCTGCTGATGATTCATTGGGATGCCACATGATGCTCCATGGTGGACTTTGCTGTTTCTGGTTTGCTTTTTCAGACGACAAAGAAAACATACAAAAATTGTTAATTATGGCAATTGCAAAGTCAAGGACTCAAAAGTTACCAAATGCAAAAATAATAGACATCTCTATAGCTGTTTTGTGGCCCCTTGTTTGTGTGCCTTGAAAGTAATATTTAATTACATGAACACATGCTTCCCCCCAGCACCCCGTGTCTTTCAGTGTATGGAAGGGACAATGCTTATTACTTGAACATCAGTTCAGTATTTTGTTTTTCCCTTTTTCAGCATGTAGCCCCTTTACATATTTAACTGCATGCTCCAAGTTCTGCTTTGAAGAGGGATTTGTTTTCCTCCTTATGTCTTTGGTGGACATTATTATAGCCTGAGTGCTTCACAAGTGTTAATACATTTTCTTAACATCCTGTGAAGGGGACTTATTTACCTTTTACAGATGGGGACCTGAAGCATAGAAATTAATTAAAAGATGTACAGTTCAACCTCTGAATATTAGTCAGCTTCCTCCTCCACAGTAAGGTACCAGCAGGGCAATCAGCAGGGAAACAGAAGAAAGAGTCCCTGCTTTCAGTTCTCAAAGCTTTGCCCCACTCTAGCTAGATTGAGCAGTGTTTTTCAGCATACCTGGCATTATACAGCACTTTACAAGTTCCAAGCACAGCTCCCATTATCTTTACTTCCAACTGTGAGTTAAACCCTTCCAAAAGAAAAAAAAAAAAATCAAAATTCTCCATTTATGCATCAGTAAAATAAGAAGCGGTTAATAACCATTTGATTTACCCAGCATCATAGAGAGCTCTTTTAGCAGAGGCAAGGATAGAATGCAAGGGACCATTACATGACAGTGCAGTAACATGTATCAATCCCTAATCTAACTGAACTTGCTTGGGTACTAGAGCTGGCTTGTGCTGCCTGAAATTGGCCAATTAACTTGGGCAATATGCTCCGTTAACACAGCTAGACTGCTTCCTGTATCCCAGCCAGCTCAAGTCTCTCTACATAGTACTGCGTTGTAGAGTGTGGATGTACTTTAGTTTCCTGCAGTTGCTTTCAGCCGTCTGTACCCATGAAACCATATTCCCTTCTTGCCATCCCGTGTGTTGTTCACTGTGCATCTTTTAACTAGTCTCTTGCTATACCATCCTAGTTAATCTCCCAGGCAGCTTATTGATGGAGGCAGGGGTTCTGTATGTGTGGGAAAAGCAGCCTGTACGTAGATTTTAATACAACAACAGGCTGTGTACACCCCCACACATACCCACCTCGTGTATATATATATTTTTTGTATTTCCCAATTTTGAATACTTTGCAACATTCATGTGTTTAAAATGGTTTTTTTTTTGTTCTTAAATGTTAAGTATAGTGAGTGAAAATTAGAAAATACTCTGTAGAGCTAATCCTCTACTGACATATAGGTAGACAATGGGTGACCTATTCAGGTTGTCTTTAATTCTGTCCATGAGTTCTGCTACTTAGCACCAATAAAAGAAGCAGTTAGTGGTAAAGTCTAATGAGCAGCTCGGTTTTCATCTGGGAAGTGCCGAACTTCTCCAGGCCCCAGTTAAAGCCACAAGAGTTAATTGCCCAAGATGATGAAATCACTCATGATTAAGGTTCTCTCCCTACCCCACCCTTCAGACTTTCTTTTAAAAATGAACAAAAACTACTAGAAAGTTAAATTTTGGATTTGTCACGTTTGACAGCCAGCAGAAGTGAGTAATAGAATAAATATGACTTTTCAGAGATGGAAGGGAACTTTCTACATGCCTGGACCTTAAGTAAGTCAGGATGGTTAAAGTGGCAGCCTGGGGTCTGTGAGGAGTTGAGTGGCACCCCTGGGCTCCCACTCTGCTACTATGCCCCCCTCATTACTACAGCTGCAAAAACAGCTGGAACCTTTGCACTCCCCTTCCCTCTTCCTCAGCCTGCCCCTGCCCCAGGGAGCAGTGTAGTACAGCACGGGAAGCGGGAGGTGGGGTTGGGGGTGGGTGAGCACATGGTGCAGAGTGTGGGTGGGTAGAGGGGCACTTATGGGCATATGGTGCAGCAGCAGGTGCCAACATGGCTCCTGGCTTGCTTTGGTGTGGCCTGTGTATAGCCCCTACTGGTGCAATCCTTAAGGCATGTGGCCCTTCTGAAGTTGGACAGCTCAGCAGTAAGTGATAGATTGCACATCCCAAAGCAAGAGTGGTATTGTCACTGATTTAATTATAGAAACCTCTGTTCCAGGTGTTACTGAGTTGTCGTCTTTTCTACCTATATAATCCTTTCTTAAAGGGTAGATTTTTCTTACATGATTCTTCTTACTAGACGTCTTTGTCCAGGAAGTCATGAATAAATTTACATATATTCATGTTAAGCAGCCTCTTGCTAGACAGATTTCTTAATGTCATTCATTAGCAGCTGACAGTAGAAGCTTTGAAAAGGAGTAACATCTTCTTTAATGTGTTTGTAGTTTATTCCATTTCCTTTTATGGGTTCACAATGAGGACTAATAAAGAATTAGATGTGTAAATGAGAATTTCACTTCTGACAATTGCCTCAGTTTGTATCCTTCAGACTAAGAAAAAATGAGAGAGATTTGAATATAATTTTAAAGAAGTCTTTAGAGACTGATTTCATGATTTTATTGGAGTATTTGTTTAAATAAAGTATTTCTTTTAAACTATTACTAATTTTTAAACAGATGGCAGATTATCTCATTGTCTAGAGGAATGGCTGAGTTTTGCAGGGAAGGGGGGGTATTACTGCTTAAGTCTCTATTTTAGCCCTAATAAAAAGAGAAGACCTTTTTGCTAAAATGAGCCCATCTCAGCTAGACAGAACTAAATTTCAAGTTAAATTATTATAGCTTCTAGCCTACTACTTGAAAAATGTAAAACAATATGGTCATTTGCCATTAAATTTTAAGTTTTCTTACCTTACACTTTTTCTCTCTCTTTTTCTGTTTTAGGTGAAATTGTGGTAAATGAAGTTAATTTTGTGAGAAAGTGCATTGCAACAGATACAAGTCAGTATGATTTGTGGGGAAAACTGGTTTGCACTAACTTCAAGACTTCCTTTATTACAGATGATCCTATGCCACTTCAGGTATGCCTTTTGGGTTTTTTCCTCACATAATTGACACGTGACTTTATTTACTTCCATTTTATTAATAATTTTATTTAAATAATACTAAATCTCCTAGACTCTCACTTGCAGCATATTATAAAACAAAGGTGAAGAACTTCAAAGGTGAAATTAAATAGCCAATTCAGATGTTATTGGTATTCCACTCCAAATTCACCCTATTTGTATTTACTAGAGCACATCATTTCAACTACAGTGTTAAAGCAGAGGGAATTAATGATGCAAGTCCACCTGGTCTATTTCCAGCTATTTGACTTCTTTAGGAAATGATGTTTTAAAGAGTTCTCTCTTTAATAGTGAGAGAGAGTGAGAATGAGAGAGCGAGCTTTAAGTTAGCATCAATTTTGCAAAGAATTTTAAGAACAACTTCCTAATTCTGAAAGTGGTGGGATCTCCTTCATTGGACTTCTAAGTGCAGATCAGACATCTGTTTGTCTGGGATGGCTTTGCCATATACAGTCCTTAGTAGTAAGGGTTGGATTAGATAGTTTCCACAAGATCCCTTCTACCCCTGTTTTTCTGATATAGCATGTATCCATCTCACTGAAGACAGTAAGAGAACAGGGGTTTTTGTTTGTTTTTTTAAAGGGAGAAGTATCATGTCACCATAGACAAAAAGTGACAGTTAAGATTGTTTTAACAGCAAAGGGGGAAACCATTGCTTCATTGAGACAAAAAATATACTAGGATCACAACCTTAGTAATTTTACGCATTACAACACAATATTAACATTTGAAGAGTCCTACATTAAACACATTTTATAGGAGACTTAAGGATTTTCATAGTTACTCTCTTTGCACATACAAAACCAAATTTCTAAAGTTTTGAAGGAATTTAGTTCAATCATGGCTAGTGCATGCAACAAAAGGCTGTGGCTTATTTTGTACGTATATGTATATGAAACAAAAACAAAATTTTACAGTTTTTGCTATGGCAGTGTAAGCCAGTCACTCACCCAGCTTCCTTCTCAAGACCAGTCAGCTCTGTGTTCTAGGTTTTCCAGGCAGTGTATTTTCATGGGGGCAAACTTGTCTCATACAAATGAAACAAAAAGGTATACAGACAGACCAAAACCTCTGTAGCCTTTCTTCTGACCCTCAGAGCAAGTCAGACTTGTACTACTACCTCAGCAGCATAGCCTTCCGTCTCCCATTCTGCTTCTGGAGCTTTTAACCCTCTTTGTAGGGTCACCTTTGTTCATTAATTATCATTTGCAGCTGTCTCCCAACCTTCTGGCCAGGTAACCTGTAAACTGCTGCCTACTTGAAGCTGGGGTTTCAGTTCTCTGGAGGCTGCACCTTCTTACAAGTAGTTTTGAAGCTTTATGCTGTTTTTAGCCAAAAGATTGTTCTAGTTTTGGGAACCTCTAATTAAGAACTGTAAAGCATGTTGCATTTCCATTAATGTGTCAGATGCATAAGTTGCTGTTTATGAAAGCTTATGCATCTTTGATTTGGTCTACAGAGAGTAAATCTACCCTGCCAGAGCCATTTCTGCTATTCAGTTGTTTCTTGGCTTTCATTCTTTTCTACCAAAAAAACCACAAACAACAAACACTGTTCTCTAGGTGACCTGTGACCCAGTTAGGTAGATTTAAGGTTGTCTGGTGACATTTCTCTGCTCTAGTTTAATTGTTTTGAGGCTAGACTAAATTCATAGAGAATAAAGTTGTCAGTTGTCCGTAAAATAAAGCTGCTTATAATTTCTGCATTTGTAAAAGCATATGAAGCAACAGAAGTTAATAACTAACTGCAGCATCTTATTCGTGTAGTGTTCTCAGAGCAGCATAACCTGTCTAGTGAACTACGTACATATGTAGATTTATAACTACTCTCAGCAGGAACCACTTATTTGATTTATTTTATCTAACAATATAAAAATAAAGCTTTTTTCTTTCTCTTGAAAGGTCTCCAAGTTGTTTGGTTGTTTTTTTTTAATAGTTGCAGTAACTTTTTTTTTTTTTAAATCTTAAATGGCAGGAGTATTTTTTTCCACCTTGCATTGTGTTCACCTTTATAGTGTATTATGATTTGTGATGAGGTTGACAAACACACAGTAAATACTGGCTTGTTATTTGTGTTTATCTAAGTCAACAGTGATTTCTATCAACTATGTTTGTAAAATATAGGGCTAAAAATATTACTGCCAAATTCCCACTTTTTGTCATTAATTTGTCTTTCAGAAATTCCATTATAAAAACCTCCTTCTTGGTGAACATGATGTCCCACTAACATGCATTGAACAAATTGTCACAGGTATGTCAGATAGCTAAGTGTGGGGAAAAGCTTTAAAGGATGTTTGTACGTTCAAGGTGAAAATATCCATTGCTTGCTACATTAAGGCACAGTTATAAAAAAAAGTAGTAGCAAATATGTCTAACTCACAGACTGATCATATAGTTTCAATCCACTTTTTGAAAGAAAGGCACTACATTGATCCTGAAATAATTAAATTAATAACAGTAACAATTTCAATGTTTGTTTTACATATGTACCATATAAATTTAATCTCCCCAGAAAACTAAATATTAGGTTGGAGAGTTATAATCTATTTGTTGAGATACAAGCTGGTCCCAAGAACTGTCAGTCTACTCCTGATTACTGTTTTGTCCTGATTTTATAATATATGCTCAATAATAAATATTATTTTCCACAGAGGGGAGAGATTTTTATGCATCTTTTTTCAATGGAGTAAAAAATCCAATCTTAGAAGAAGCAGCTTTTGTGAAAAATTTGAAGGTTGGCATAGGTTCTTCCCTTTGGAGAGCCTTTCACAATCACCCAGACTCTAGGGTTAGCATGGGGGAACATCTCTATTTGTCACAGAAATCAGTTTTGTCTGTGATCTTTTGCCATTGTAACCAGTGACTGATCAAGATTTATTGGGGCACAGAGCTCCAGTGGGGGGAGGGGCCTCTTCCCTTCCTGGTGCTGGTGCTGCCAAAGGTGGGGCAGGCCTCCATGCCCCGCGGGGGAAACTGGGTGGACCCGGCCAGGCTGGGAGTAGGGTGGCACATGCCCGCCTCTCTTCCCTCCTCGCTGGCACGGCCAGAGCGGAGCCAAGGGCAGATGCAGGCTGCCACTGTGGGCTTGGGGCTCTCTGCTCTGGTGCTTTTGCCCTGGGAGCCCCATACCAGTTGCACATCCCCTGCCCACCTGGCAGTAGAAAGCACAACTCACCTCCCACCCCACTGCTGCCAGGTAGGCAGGGATCATGCAGCTGGCGCAGGGCCCCTAAGGCAAAGGCAGCAGAGTTGAGAGCCCTGAACCCACAGCGAGAAGCTCACATCTGCCCCACACACACGTCTGGAGGGGACACATGTTCCCCAATGCCTTCCCAGGGGGGTGTGCACAGCAGTGGGGAGCAGCCCTCCCTCCCACCCCCTGCGCCCCCTGGACAAGCTGCCTGTCGTTCCATCCCACTCCCCACCCCATCTCTGGATCCCATGCACTGTTCTGGATGAGCAGAGTCCACTGCCCCACTCCCACCCTCATCCTGGGGGCCTCAATCTACCCTGCCCCCATGCCACTTCCCCCCCCCCCCCGCAC